TCTTAACTTTAAAAAAATCAATTTGATCCTCAAACTCCTTAAAAAATAATTTAATTAATTTGTCACTTTATTAGTCATCGTGGATCACTACGTCAGCATCGTAAACTACACGTTAACATCGTAACAGTCAACAACGAAAATCATTGCTCAAAGGCCACATTGAATTTTTTTTTTTTGGAGTTTGAAGGCCACAATAAGTGTAAAAATAATTTGACGGTCACATTGATTATTTTGGAAATGTTTGAGGGCCTCACATATCATTATACATCAATTATTTTTTAATATTTTTATATTTTATATTTAAGATAGTTTTATTTTTTATAAAAAAATTGAATAAGTCCTTAAATTTATAAAAAATGAATTAAAAAAATAATTGAACACATTTATTACATCATTAGTCACATCATTAACTAAGTGGATCGCTATAGTAACACGACTGACTGACACATCTACATCGTAAACTATCACGTCAACATTGTTATATTCAACGAAAGAAATCATTGGTCAAATGGTCACATTAGTTTTTCTTTTCTAAGTTTGAGGATTATATTAAATGTAAAAATAATTTGAGAGCCACATTAGTTATTTGAGAAAAGTTTGAGGCCCTTGCATACCATTATGCTTTTTTTCCCCTTAAGGAAATGAAGTGGTGCGTTTTTATCAGATATGATCGAACAAAAAACGCCGCGTTATTTTGACAGTGAATGGCTTTTCAGAGTGACGAAAAGCCACTCCAAAATATCATTAATATTCCAGAAACCATATATAAATGTATTAAAAAAAATTATCTCAATCCCGAAAACTGAATTACGGATTTTTTCAATAATGGGAGCATCATCTTCGACGGAACAGTCGATATCGGCGGAGCAACGAGAGTTGGAAAGCCTCGCCGCTTCTACGGGAGCTCTTCCGTTGCTTCAAAAATCGTTCTCAAAACTCTCCGATCCTCAAACAAACACAATATCCATCCAAACCCTTCAGGTAATGTTAATTTACAAAACCAATCATCCTTAGTTTCATTCAATCACTTCATTTTTTACGATACCCTTTTCTTAATTTATTGTTCACATTGATTACAGCAATGTTTTCTTTTGAGTTACGAGGATCCAGTTTCCGAATCACAACAAAAGCCAGAGTCTTTACCCAGTTTGTTGGAATATTTAGGATCGTCAATAGTAGACTTGTTTTTCATGCCTGAAAAAGGTGGCATAAACTGGATAGGGTTTCTAAGAGGTTATGTGTAGTGCTGTGGGAGAATGTCTACATCGATGTCTCTTAACATTTTGTTGAGGATATTTGCTATGGCAGTGAAAAAATCGGGACTTTCTTCGAATTTGGAGTTCGAATCGGACGATGCTGATTGCAAGATCAATGGGTCTTTACTGCCCTCTGATTTGCTTCTGCTTCTTTGGATGTGCTGGGCTATGTTGTGGAATGTCAGGACTTTGAAATCTTCTGAAAGGAAAGGGAAACTGTTGTTGCCTTATATTGATCATTTGGTGTTGTCTGCTGTTGTTTCATGCGGTGACGTCAATAGCAGCTTCGATATGTGGGATTGTGATATACTGAGCTTGGATGTTCAGCTTCCTGTAGGAAAGTTTCTTAGTTGGGCGTTATCGACGGCCCCGACACTTTCAGACTGTTTTACACAATTCGTTACTGGAAGACTTCAAATCTCAGTTATTGAAGAGGGCTGTATTGTTGGCTTTATATTTGTCTATCACCGAATTCCCTTATTTTGTTCCGTTTTCCGCTTGCATGTGTACCTGACATCCACTCTATTTTCTTCTGCAACTTTGGTGCAATATTATTATGCGAAAATCAGTTGATCTAGTTGTATGTTTCACTAGTTAGATACTTATTTCTTGATGAATTGTAGGATGAAGCAGGACCTTCAGAATCGATTTCAGGAGATATTTCTTCGAAGTCATCTCAAACTTTACTTTTAACACGCGGAAGGGTATGGTCTGTTTCCTTGGGATCTAGAAGCACTGTTAGTGAAGAAATTTTGAAGTTATGCTTCTCTGTTGATATTGATGTAACAGATGAAAATCTTCTGTATTGGTTTGTCATTTCCCCTTTAATGTCATGATACTCTAAAGTATTAGAGCTCTTGGAGATACGGTGCATCTTTTGTATGTGTTTTGTATGACCTGTATTTTTTACTTTTTATGTATTTGGTTGGTTGTTTTCGACTTTGTAGGTCATCTGCTCATGGGAAAGGCTTGAACAGATTCTGGTCAAATGTCAATGGTTATCATGGTCCATTACTTATTTTGATTTCTGGATGCCTACCAGGATAATAACAAAACTAGGAAATGGATCATAGGAGCACTTGCACAGCAGGGTTTTGAAAATAAGGATAAATTCTATGGGAGCTCCGGGAACCTATATGCTATAAATCCAATCTTCCATGTATTTTCACCTTCAGGCATGTGATCAAACAAGAGGAAATATGTCACTGGTCGGTTTTGTCTGTCTTTTATTTCCTTTTTTCGTGGAGTATGGGAAAGAGGGTCTTGTTGAAGAGTCATATAAAGGATTTTAGGATTAATTTCTTACCTGACCAATCTCATCAAGTTTCTATCAGGCAATGTTTTGGTTGATGATTTGGTGAATGCAATTACTTGTAATTTTTAATAGGGAAAGAGAACTTTGTTTACAGCCATTTGCACCCTAAAGGAAGAGTTTATGAAGCACATCCAAAGCCTGTGGGAATTGCATTTGGAGGAACTACTACAAATGAGAGGATATTTATGGATGAAGATTTTACAAAGCTGATTGTTCTCCATCATGCAATGGATAAAACTTACCAACATGGTTCCCTTATCCCGAATCAGGTACATAGAACTGTAATATATAGTCTCGTATAATAAATGCCAAATCATGTAAAGCTGTTAGTTCATACCACCAGTTTGTCTTTTGTCTCTTAGTCCTAACCCTCAGGATAACTATATCTGTTATGAACTTTTCTGGTTTTTCAACATGGAAAGAAACTGATTTGGGCCAATGCTGAACTATGATTTGATTTGTTGCAGGGGTTTCTACCAGTGGAAGCTTTGATATCAGAAGTCGAAGTTTGGGGTCTTGGTGGTAAGAATGCAAAGGAAGTCCAGAATTCATACAAGAAGAGAGAAGAACTCTTCACGGAGCAAAGACGAAAGGTAACCGAAACCCTTTAAGATTTAAGTAGATTACAAACCCTTTAATATGTACAATTAGCAGTTAAGCTTAAGGCATGAACCTACCCTTCTGCAGGTTGACTTGAAAACGTTTGCAAATTGGGAAGATTCACCCGAGAAGATGATGATGGATATGATGGGTGATCCCAACCAAATACAGCGAGAAGATCGCTGAGCAACTGAACTCGAAAGGAAACCATCATCATACACTATAATATTCTTATTTTTTAATAATATAGAGCGGGTCATTATTCATGGAGATCATCTGTAACTATTTGAGAGAGATGAGTTCTATAGAGAAAATAGTTTCTTTGTTCTGTTGTACATTGGCTGTATAAATTTGAAGAACATAAGTTTTAACTGCTGCGGGGCTCCTTCTACCGTTATAACATACCAAAAAAAGGCAGCAGCATCCAAAAAATGCAGTAATAAGAAAGCATGGTGAATTGATTCATTAAGGCACTCTTGCCCAAAATTTAAAATCTTGGTTAAATGGAAAAAAAGAAAAAGAAAAGAAAGGTGAAACCTATAATTGAACTATTTGCAAAACCAGGTATATTAGTATTTTTTTTAACTGATGCTTGTCTCCGTCCATTTTCATTCTCTTTGCATTAGGGTGTATTAGAGGTGCACAAAAAATCTAAATATTCGATTTTGCGTAAAAAATATTCGAAACCGGATTTGGGAAAAACCGATTTTTTTAAAATCGGATCGGATATTTTAAAACCGGATAGTATAACCGGTTTGGGAAAAAATTAGACGACCGGATTAAAAATCGGTTTGAAAAAACCCGGATAAAAAATTAGTTTTTTATCCGAAAAAAATCCGGTATGGGGTTTAAAAAATTGGATGACCGGATTTTTTACCGGATTAAAAACTAGTTTTTTTAAAAAACCGATTTTTTTCAAACCGAAACCGGTTAAACCGGTTACATCATCCGACCCTCCAAACCGGTTATGATCCGAACCGATTTTTTTATAAACCGATATTTTGACTTAGTAAAAAAACCAGATCAGTTTTTATCTGATCCGGATCAGATTTAAATCCGACTATGTGCATTTATAGGGTGTATGCTACCCTCTGGCCCCCTGTTCTGGGACAATGCATGACGCTAGAATGCACTATTTAAATATAATAGTAATAACTTTCTTTTTTAATAATCTAGAGTGTTAACAAAGTAATATCTGTCAAAACTTAATTAACTAATTAACAATAGACACACATTCTGCAGATGTAATTATTCGAACTTAAAATCTATAAGCAGGGTCGTCCCTGGGCATAGGCCAGGGGTGCGACCGCCTAGGGCCCCAAGCTTGAAGGGGCCCATTTTTAAAAATATTGTTAAGTTAATAATTAAAAAATATTTTTAAACGTATTTTTTTTATTTTAAACACTCGAAAATATAGTAATTCAGTGAGCCCAATAATTAAAAAATATTTTTAAACATCATTTTTTATTAAAAAACTCGAAAATATGGTGATCCAATGGCCCCATTTTAATAATTAGAAAGGAAATTAAGTGTGGACTCCCACTTATCTTCTTGTCATCATCTCCTGACCTAGGACCCTTAAAATGTCAGAACCAGGCCTGTCTATAAGGAGAATAACATTTTTGTTACCTTTAGAGTCACTTACTGGTTCCATAATAATAATAACTTGATGTTTAAATTTAACTGAATTGAGTGAAATTTGAATATTTTCTTAACGGAATATTGATAACATCTTCCTAAACCTAATGCAATATTTGAAATTGTTGAAGGTTTAATGCCAGATCTGAGTAGAAAAGAATGACTCTAAATTGAGAATTAATCAATGGAACTTAAAATAAAAATAGTCCTGGAAATGGTGGCCTCAACAACGGATGGTCGAGTTATTACAGGAAAGGGTGACCAAAATCCAAAAGACCTTTCTGAAAGCTCTCGACTGTCTTATAAGTCCGAACAAACATCCTAAAAAATGACGTGGCAAACCTGAATAAATATCACGCCAAACATCGTTCAACAAAAAATACACAAACATCCCGGGCTGAAAGTCTCAGGAAAATAATAAAATTTCAATGGTTTTGGTCTACTAATATACAAGAACCTTTTTACTTCATTCTATAAATAATATATATCAACTGATGTGGCAGAACAATTCTTTGGCATAAAACTAGATGGTAAGAACAACAATCAGCTCTGCTTCTCAATCTGAGGAGTCAAATGCCATGGTACCGTTGTCTACGGTTGGCTACGAATAAGCCTTCATCTTTGCCATCTCCTCTCTCAAACAAATAGGGTTCATGTATGTCGTCAAGGCAACATGCCATGATGGCATACAGTACGCTAAATTAATAAGCTTTTACGATGACATTATAATAATACAGTTTAGAACATACCAGGAATAGGATTGGCACCATTTCCTTTTGCAGCCTGCTGGGCTTGAGACAACAATCGCTGGATTCTTGGAGAACCCTGCCTCCTGTTAGCGGCGGGTAAGGAATGTCTCTTCTTGATAGATATGTCTCTGTCTTGCACATCCGGACTTGATCTCGGTGAATTATTTGCACTGAGCTTAGCTCGTGCAGATTCCGTGGCTTGCATGAAACGAGGGACGGAATTGCTACTGTTAGTATCCCTTGGCTCCTCATCGATATTTTCAGGTCTTGTTGAACTAAAAGAATTGCGTCTCTTCCCATTTTTCTGATCTCTGTGTAACTGTTCTATGCTACTTGCAACTGGAGTTGATGGAGAACCCTTGGCTGCAGACAAGGACTTGCGCTTTTGACTGCTCTTGTCGGTTTTTTTCTTTTTAGCTTTCACAGATACCTCGCTAGGTGTTCCTTGGGACTCCGGAACAGTCATATGGCTCCGAGGAGAGGCTTCAGGGGATGACCTGTATGCTTGATTTTTTATAGAATCCCGTTCTCTCGGCAGATAAGCTGTGCTTTTGAGTGGCTCCTGCTCGACTAGAGGGGAGTCTACGGCAATTAAATTTGTTGATCCCGCTTTTGAACCATCAAGTTTCTCAGGCTGATCAGCAACAGACAGAGAAGAATCAGGCACTGGCATCGCAACTGTATCATTGTCTTTAACATCCAAACCTTTAGGACTGTTAGAACTGCAGTTTTCTTGCTCCAAAACTTTGGCTCCATTTTCATATTCTAAGGTTCCAACTTCAGATATATCAGGTGAATCGAGAGTGGAAGTAATAGAAAGTTCGGTGCCACATTCAGAGCCACCATGTTGAACCCTCCAATTACTGAGGACCGGATTTTCTGCAAAACTAGGCTCCTTTGATCTGCTTATCGTATCTGTCCCAGATGACACAGTATCCACGTTCGATTCCACTTTAACATCTTCGTGGGATGAATCCGTTGATCTACTTGACTTGCCTGTTGAACTCAACTCCTCAAATTTGGTTTGCGTGGCAATAAATGCAGGATTACCTGCCTTTCTTGATCCAAATACAGATTTTTTTGCCTCTTTTTCCAGTTGTTCAGAAGCAGATCTCTTCATTGAATGTTTCGGTTGTTCACTCTCGATTTCAGGCTTGTTAGAAAGACAACTGACCTCTATTGGAGAATGTGCATCGATTTGCATTGTTTTCCCTTGCGAGTTCACTTCGTGAGAGGTCTCTTTCAGGTCTGATGTACTCACATTGTTAATCTGGTGTTGCTCCAAATCATCCGTCACAGAAGATGAAGCCGGCTGGCATGCCTCAAAACTAAAGTTGGTTGCGTCATATGTGATCAGATTTTCTTCACTCTCTGATGAAACCAATGTCTCTCGTACATCAAGTTCATTTGACACAAAAATAACGTCAGATAGAACCACAGCAGTAAGTGGAGAGTCACAATCATCGCTTTTCGTTTGTTCAGGTTGTTCAATAGGTAACTCTTCTTTCAATGACTTTTCAGATGAAGACACCGACATCCACCTCTCCAACCAGCTCCAAGCAGAATTAGGTTTAGATGTATCACACTTGATGTGGATAGGTTTGGTCTTGGGAGTCGAATCCATTATCTGCAATCAAAGGAAAATTTGAGTATAGAAGGGGTAGGCATAATTTGAGAGACAGATGCCAGTTAATAGTTAAAACAAGTAGATACTAAATGTCAATTTAACATACCTGACGAGCAAACCTATTGCTAAGCAGCTTCTCCATGGAACTGTAAGTTGAGTTCTTTTTTGTTGCTGAGCTTCCCTGCTTCCGATAATTAAAGAAAGAATAATGCGTAAAATTATTGTGCCAAAACTCTCCATCTAGACCACCGTAACCCTCTCTCAAACTGAACAGTAAGAACACACAAATTGCAGATAGAATTCACTCTCCACTCATGTTTAAAATTAGATTTGCGCCAGGTGAGATGAAGTGAATATTTTTAAAGGTCTTGATGGATCACTTTGAACTTTCATGCTTGAAAATAAAACGTTGTCATAGAATCTACTCTAAATATGTAGATCTATCTAGGCTGCTGCACTACCGTACAACCTTCAATTGAACTAGGAACATGCATCAATAATGAACCAGAACATACTAGGAAAACAGCCTTGTGACTCCTAATTGTTGATTTTAGTTGTAAGAAATACCAATCTTTGATTGCCTTCTTGGTTCTTGTCATTCAGCTTCATTTCGGCATAAGACCCTTGAGATAAGCTAGCACGTACAAGAAGTTGCATTTTGACAATGGCTTGAACACAGCGTAAGGTCCCGACAGCATGCCTTCGGACCAAGTGCCCACGTACAGCAGCCTGCAACTTTACTAAATTCCTAAGCTTTCTTAGCTCTTTCTGTGCCTGCAAATGAGTGCATAAGATAAAAGTTAAGAAACTTTACCAACTCATAAGTTATAGATTTGTATTGAGAAAGTATACCAAGAACCCTCTGATTGCTGTCTGGATGATAACAACAAGAGATTCATCCAGGGTAGAATCATCTTCAGCCTCATTTGTAGTGGCAGAGACAGGTTCAGTCACTTTTGATTCCTCTGGTGTCAACGGCTGAGATTTTTCTTCAGAGCATTTAGTCAGTGTCAGCAACTGAGATTTTTCTTCAGCGTCTTCTATTGGCATCAACGGCTGAGGTTTTTCTTCATCGTACTCTTTTGGTACCATTAACTCAGATTTTTCTTCAATGTACTCTTTAGGGTTGATCAGCTGAGGTTTCTCTTCGGTAAACTGGACGGTGGAGGTTTTATCAGGAGCAACAGAGACATCTGACTGCTGAAACTCAAAGCCAGCAGATTCTTGACTTTCCTTAAGTCCTCCAGAGGTAGCTTCTTGTATCACAGTGTTGCTAAGCACCCGCTGCCGTTCAGATCTCTTCAGAAAACTCCATACCTTTTTGTCACTTGATCTTTTACTCTGAAATGAAATTTAAACTCTAAATGAATAAAATGCTCTTAGCTCTTAACTCTAGCCTGATCGTAATCCTTTTTCGATCGAACTTAAATAAGTTAAAATGCCCTTAACTTTAAATTCTAGCCAGAACGGATTGCTTTCCGATTGAAATCTAACAATGGCTATCAACAATGGAGTCTCAACAAGGGCATATCAGTACTATTGAACTGCCGTTTATCCAAGAGACAAAAGATGGACGACTACATATACTTGAAAAAATGAAGAAAAATGAAATGGTAAACCTCAAATTTACTAACAAAATTGAAGATTGTCAGTCATTTCCAATCATCAATGGCATGAGTTAATTTTAATCAGATAAAGAAAACAGTAAATAAATCTCGTATAACGGCACATTATGATCTTACATAACTTTTCCCTTTTAAAAGAATAACAAAACAAGCTGAAAGAGAATAAAATTTAAAACCTCGCGAGATTTGAAACTGTATACCAAAAAACAATCTGCATTTCATACATTCTGGAAATAATCAGATTTAAAAAGGCAGGTTCAACATTGCTGATAGAATTTCAAAGCAAGGATTTCTCAGATCTTAACATTGTGGAGTAAGCCAAGTTCCCAAACTCCGATTCATCGATCAAGAATGCATACAAATTAAACAAATTATAAAAAAAACAAACACACACAGTGAACTGACTGTTTTGAAGCTGGAAAATGAAGAATGCACTTTGAAACAAAACATGAAATCCTAATTCGATACAAAGCAACAAAAAGATGAAAAAGAGAAGGAAATGCATGTGGCCATATACCTCAGTAACATCAACGGCGTCGTATTTTTCAGCAGAATCGCCGCCGCAGGTGATGAGTTTGAAACAGGAAGTGGATTTTCCCATTTTCCCCCTTCTGTTTTTGCTTATTCTGCTATCCCTTACTCGTTTAGAGTCTTTCCAGCTAGCGAGTGTGCGAGAGACACGACAGTCTAATATTTTGATGTGTGAATTAGTATTGGAAATTGCAGCAAAGTTTTTTTGGTCGTTGAATTCCAGGTGGCAAAAGCATGTTGCATGATGCGAAGGACCGCATGATTCGAAGGACCACATGATCCAGTCTGACTGGGGCTGGCCGCACCTGATCCAGGCATATGCCATGTTTGGCTGCTGCAAGTGGTATGCCATTACTTACAACGAACATTGACATTTATATCTATCCAAAGTGGGACACCACCAAATGTTTAATTTATAGTTATTGATAACAATAATGACATTCTTAGTTGGTTTAGGCCCTTAAGCTCCACTTAATCAACTCTCGTTAATTAGTCTAATCATTATTTACCTTTTTCGCTCAACTTCAACACATTCAGTGATAAAAAAAATAAAAATAAAACATCAGTAAAAAAATGAGAAATTAATTAAGTTTACATTTTAAAAAATTATTTTTATGATAAACTACGTGTTTATTACATTAACTATCATTTTTGTTCTAATTTAGTCATTCTACTATTTTTTTTTTAAATTATACTTAACATTACGTTTCGATTTCATTTTCGTCATCCATTAAAAAGATTAACAGAACTGGTGATATTACTCTTATGGTAACACGTCAGTATCAAGGATAAAAAGACTTTATGTTCATGGAAGATATGGTAAATTGTAGCTGGTGTATCAGATGCTTATTGAAACTCAGGGCAAATGCCATCCCTATTTTATCTACAGGAGCTACAAAGACAAATGATTTCTGGAAAAAAACTTCGGGTAAAAGGAGATAAAGTCTCATGGCACAAATTGATATGGTTTCCTCTACACATTCCAAAACATAGCATGATTACATGGATGACGCTTCTTGATAGACTCCCAACTAAAGAGAGGCTTCCTATAATGGGAATCACTACTGACAGCTCATGTATACTATGCAAAGAGGCTACGGAGACTAGGGACCACCTGTTCAGTGAATGCCCTCATGCAGTTTCCTTGTGAAATGATATCCTTAATCTCTCTGGCTTATGCACTCTTCGTTTACGATGGGTGAGCATGTTAGACTGGGCTTATAGTGCTTGGAAAGGAAAGTCTCTCCTCACTACTATCTTGAAACTTGCTTGGTGCGCTTTCATCTACTCACTGTGGAAGGAAAGAAACAAAAGACTGTACCGAGGAACCACAAGAAGTGTGAAAGAAATGCTAAACTCTATTAAGGAGATTGTACGTATCCAATTAAGAGGAATGCATATAGATGATTAGATAAAATTAATATTTACATTTCTAATCGTTGGGGTATTGACCATCCAATTATGTTGTAAGTAGGCAATCCTTTATCCCATTGTTGGGATAATCTTGTAACCTTTATCCCATTGTTGGGATTTTTTCTGCAGATGAACTATGCATCTTGGGTATTAAAATTATCCAAAAAAAAGAAAGAAAGTAAAACTAAATGTTATGTATGATTTTGAAAAAAAATAGTTAGATAATAAAATGGATAATAAGTGATAGTTGAGATACTAAATATGTAGTTTACCCTATATCCTATCTAATCCAAGCTGTAAACGTGCATATTATTATAAATAACATGGATTTTGCCCATAATTTCTTTAATCTTTTGTTTTCTTGTGGAATGTTTTACATCTCATCATGATTTATACCATCAAAAATCAAATCATAAATCATTGGTTTCAGCCCCCAGCCATACCCCTAAGGCCCTAATATACAAAATTATCTTAATTTTGATTTTATGTCTTGACTTTTATTTATATACACTGAAATCATTTAGATAACCTAAACTTTTTATTTCATTTTTTAAGTATTACATCCTTTTAATTTACTTCAAGAATTCAGAGATATTTGCTTAAAATCATTCTTATTTTTTAAAACATAAATTAGTAGACAATATTTTATAACCATAATATTTTAGGTTTTTCATTTTTTTAAATTTATAAGTAAGGATAAATTAGATTTTTTTAGACATTGTAGTAAAAGATTATTTTCATTTTTCTTTTTCTCTTTTAATTAAAGTTTTTGATAATATGAATGTATGATCGTCGGATCTCCAAAGTCTCATTCGAAAAATTTAAATCCCATGCTTCATTTGAATTGTCCACGTAATTAGCGTTGAATAATAACACGTATAATACGGTTAATGAGGTCTACACATAATTCCCACACGTATAATAGTATGAACCAAACGACTACAATGGTTAGTTGTTATTTTTTTAGGTTTTGGGTTCGAGTGTATGTAGTGATATGAATGTTTATTGTTAAATAACTTAAAATTTTTGAACAAATATTACTTTATATTTATCCTATATTTATCAAAAAGAAAATTGATATTAATAAACCGTTATTAATATTGATTAACGAAGTATTTACTTAAAAGAAGAAAAGGTACAAGCACAACGGCTTATTAACTGGACACCATATTTTTTTTGGGGGTCCGCTTTTGAGGCAACGTGGTGGAGCCCTTCTCACATGGGAGAGGAAGAATGCAATCATCATCATTTTTATATTAAGGGGTTAAAAAATACAAATATATAATTTTACAAATGTTAAATTGAAATATAAATAAAAAAAATAACGAGGTGACATGGTATAGAACAATATAAATTGATTTTGGATGTAATCAACCTCCATAGACATATTTTGTATAATGCAACTATTTCAAATGTAATCATAATCCTATCTAGAGGGGATGAGAAGGAAGGAGAGTGCATCTAACGAGTATAAAACTCATGGACTAAAGAAATATTAGATGCTTAACCAAGTTCAAGGGTCAATTATGTAAAAACAAAAGTATAGGGACTAATTAGATATCTAAAGCCAAATTTAGGGTGGGATAAGTAGTGTTAGGGCTGGGCCATAAGAACCTAATCAGCTTAGGCCCACGATGTGAAATAACTCCATAAATTGTCTCTAAATGGGGTCTCCAACCATTTAACCTCGTTCCCCCAAACACAAACTCAGTAATGCAATTGAAAGCCATTGATGCTTTCTCTTCACAGCTCTGCTTTTCAATTGTTTGACTTTAGAGCCAAACATTGAATGACAAAAATGGTCCCTCTTCTTTAAACCCACAAATGTGAACCACAACATCTACTTTAAAAAGCTTGGTTCACGCGACAGCGTTTTTGTTCTGCATCAATTGTTCCACTTCGACTTGTTCTGTCTGCTTCTGTTTTTTTTACACATTCATTTTTGTTTCAGAAATTAACATTTTATTCCAGGATGGTTATTATAGTAAAGATCTCGTAACAAGAAGACAAAGTGATCAAGAGCTTGGTTCAACGATGATGTTACATGTCAACAAATTTTGAGGTTTCATGTTCAAATTCTATTCTTTACTAATCATGCGTGAATTATCTTTTAATTTATTTCGACTTAAGTTACCATTCCATAATCATTCGAATTTTATAATTTGTAATTACGATTGTACTTATATATATAGAAGTGAATATTCAAACGAGACGACTAAAAATTTTTAAATTAATCGAGCTGACGAGAATCATAACAAGAGTATCGACTTGTAATCCTGCTTACCCGAGAAGAAAATTCGGTGGATTAAGCTAATAAACTGAAACTTCATTAAAGTACAATAAGACGTCTCATGCACAATACTTCTACAATTAAGTAGAGCCGTTTGCTAACATAGTGGCAAGTTGAAAACCCCATCACTTCTCCAGAGATTGGATGACATGAGACCCTTTATCCTCTCTTCAAATACCAGTCTGGTAATGAAGGATATCGAGGCCGGATAGCAAGTGAGGGGTATCAGAGGGGCCGTTTAGAAGTAAACCCGAATTTAAGTTGGCATTACCCACCTAGTATTCCTTACTACGGTTATTTATGGATTATTTATTTTTCCTACACTCCTAGAATGGTAAGGATGGAAACATGAATGTCGAACGATACTTTGCTAGTTCTCCATAACTTCCGATTCGGATTTGGTTAAAACAACCTACTTGATGGTGATGTAGCGGTTTGTCCCATGCTTGGCCCAATGGTTCTTAAGATCAACAGGATTGGACAAATCATAACCTTCAGCTGCGAGCCGAGTAAGCAGCTTGTTGAAAGCACTTCCACTCATCTTTCTACCACCGATACGGGCGTGCTTTTTGTTTGGAACTGCCGGCAAAGGATACATCGACAAGGCTGTTGTGCAACATGAAGATTGCCACCCGCCGTTTCCCCATTTGTAGCACTGTCTTAGGACTCCGGTGCAGGAACAAACGGGAGGTGCCATGGTTGACTCGTTGAATACAACTTGATTCAACCCTAGATCTTTACCTGTCCAATCTGGTTTGGTTGTAACCAACTGTTTGTTGAAATCATCACTGGCACCACCAACATCTTGTGCACCCTTCCACTCGTGTGACTTGCCAGACATAATCTTGTTCAAGTTTTCAGTCTCTTGTTTTACCTTTTTAGGAGGCTTTGAAGCCTTCTTGTTAGGTGCAATCACCTTGGCCTCTTTTGCTCGTTTACCCCGTCTTGACTTTGCAGCTTCGGAGGTACCTGGCATCACTGGAAGGGTATCAGTTGAATGCATTTCTCTCGAGTTATAAGGAACTTCACTAATGTGGGGAAGATGGTGAATGTTCTGGTGTGGATGTTGCATGTGCTTCACCCCACGGGACATATGGAACCCTGCCAAACAAGAGGACATATTACCAGATGACAAGGAGTTCTCTCGATACTGCAGATTCGCTATGGCATTATCACGTTCCGCTATAGCATTATTTCGTTCAGCAATTGCCGCATCTCGTTGCAAGAATGCCATATCTCTCTCGGCAATAGCTGCTTTCTTTTCGGAAAGAGCTAAATTCCTTTCTTGAATGGCTGCATCTCGTTCAGCCATAAGGGCCATTATCTGCTTCATTGATGGCTGATGCATCAGCCACTGCAACAACAATCCTCATAAAAGTTATCACCATTGACAGAAGTTTTCAGAAAATGCTGAAATTGAACACATTAATCGCAGAGGGGAAGTTAATTCACTTATGTCATTCGTCAGTCCAAGTATCTATAATTTCCAAAATTAAACAGCCTTGAGATACCTGGCCCTGAGCTGCTCTATACTGATCTGTTTTAATTCTTCCATTTTCACGATGCCCACCATCATCCATCGGAGACTCCAGGAAATTATTGAGATCAACAAATAAAATCTCAAAACTCCGTTCTGAGGGTGGTATTCGGTCAAGTAAGCATCACATCACTTCAGGGCAGCAAATCCTGTATAGCAGAAAAGGTGGAACGGGAACTATTCAGATTATGTTATTAATAGCAGAATTACTCCATTACTATCAGGAAAACAGCTGATATCATCCCACGGAAAATACTAACATCTTTCTATCAAAAATGCTATATGAGGGACAAAACCACATCCTTCAGCAGTCAATTTTACCTGAATAAGAACTGATGCATAAACACTTCACCGGAAATAATGACACAAAAGTTTAATAACCGACTCTTCTTCACTTAGTAGCACGAATTCCATCAGTTCCGTGAGAATCATTTCCTAGTTTAGTCAACAAGTATAAAACCCCCTAATAGCCATCAACAAATCATCATTACCGATCAATCGGAAGGGTTCAAAAGTAGAAGCTTTGGAGACAAAAGCATCTCCCTCCCATACCTAGAGGTCACTTTTCTATAACATCAAAGAACTCCAGGCGTTAATAATTAACGATTAAGAATTGCATATCGAATTCAAATTCAATGCAAGTAAGCTCAACACCTTGAACATTAGTTTTAACAGTTAAAAATTGTTTGAAAGTGAGACAATGAAAGCTAAACTTTCGGGCAAGATTAGACTAAATGTACAATATACTATACGAACAGCTAAATGACCTGTTTCTTTCCACAAACCAGTATATATATAAAGTATATCCAGTCCTAAGCCAAAACCGGAAAAAAACAACAACACAGAATCATACAACTCTTAGTTGAAGAGCTAATATATCAAAAGTCTTTTAAGTTCACCCCCATACCTATTTTAAAGAGCTCAATTCGCAAAAAAAAAAAAAAATCTTAAAACCCTAGAAATGAAAGATATGAGCTTGTGAAAGCACTCTTCCCTGGCTCCCTCAAAGCACCAACCACAAAAAATTAACCAAAACCAACTGAAAAAAAACAGGAAACAACTAAAACTAAGCATAACTAAGATGGGTTTAAAGCCAAATCGACGATTAAAAGGAAAAAAAAAAGTGGGAGTAGAAGAGAAGAAGAAGCTTACCAGTGGAAGAATTTCAAAGGAAATATATGGGAATCAAGACATGGAATTCTGGGCAGTTGGGAAAATCAGTGGAAATGAAGAGTTAAAGAAGGAAAGACAAAAGAATTTATCCTTACGTTTTGTGTCCTAAAGACCGTGATTTTCCACTGTTGTCTCGTCACGTTCCAAGGGTGGGCTAAAAACCTAACCTGTAAATTACAGTCGATCGACCGGCTAAGGCTAATCTATTTTGTTATACATTACAATTTATGTATACATGTATTAGTTGTCCAAAATTTAAATTCGAAATTTGATTTTAGTAAGAATTTAAGATATATTAATTTTTACTGTACCGAAACTGAACTAACATTTGTTTAAAAAAATTATTCTTTTTAACATATAAGATGATTGTAATATAATATATATTCATAAATTTTTTAATAATTGACACTACATACACACACAATAGATGCTATTACTCGTATCTAGAACATCTAGAGAAAACAACACAAAAATATGGGTGAAATTAATTTCCATACATTGCGATTCAATTGCATTTAAATATCCACAGTTTGCATTAAAATTATAGCATTTGAGAAAACACATAGTACGTTACAAAATTCGGATCATTATAATCTTTTTATAAGAAAAAATAGTTCATAAATTAACATAAATGTAACTTCGGTATTGGGGAAAACTCTGCATGAAATTCACCACAATTTAAGCCAACATGGTTTAGAATTCTGTATCTGTAACTGGTAATGCAAAGTTATCCCTCTCACCTACTAAGAATGAATACTATTATTGAAGACTGAAAGGCCACCATCCATACACATTCGATAAATCTAGAGTTCGAATCTTGTGAATTAAGATCCGTATCGAATAATACATGAAAGAAACTTTGTATGACATCTCAAATCCTTAGATCTCCTCGTAGTTGAACGGAGACCAATGCTAAGTTCCATGTTTGCTGCAGTTGAAAATGGTATTTCAAGAAAAATAGACTAGAGGCATTCTGAAATGGAAACAAAAGAAACCGAATCTGTGATTATCACAAATCTTTCAACTCTGTTCATATGTCTGTAACTGACTTAATTATATACCCAGACAAATAAAAAAGAAGATGGTGAAAATTCTGAATCCGACAGACTAACATTAGTGCTGAAACTGAAAATCATCTCTTTAGCCGATAAAGGTAACTCATAGCACCAATAATTTGGCGGTTGATGACTGAAAGAGAGATTCTTTAAAACAATTTTCTCGAGTGCTCTTCCATTCCAAAAGAACCCGAAAGTTATAACGGTTGAAATGCAGCACCACTAATGTAAAAACTCTAATCAGTCTTTTCGCTCTTCTCTACGCTAGACTTGCTGAGGATATGTACACCGATGACAATGAACATGGCACCTGCAAACCACTGAAAAAGCTATCGTAATCAGAATATGCATTTTACAGAGTTAATTGCTCATAGACAATGAGTGTTAGTTTGGTTTTCATGCAAACGGTATCAACACAAAGTTTTCATAACCGAAAAAATACCAAAGCAGAGGTCTATAAAGTATATATCTAGTAACTTCAATCCAACTTCCCCCTCTCTTGCCTTCTTAGATACCATAATACAAGAGGGACTACTACACAATACAAATAAGAACTTTAAAGACAAGTCATAAGAAAACTAATCGAAGTTACGGTGTTTGAAACAATGTACTCGAAAATCTTCTATTCTTCTAGAATGGTTTTCGGCATGCATCTCCAAACTTCCATACCACCAAAAATAGAAGACGAGCAAAAGCCTAACTGAAAAATTTTCCCATTTCCAAGCATCTGTTTTTGCCAAGTGAATTCAATTATAACTCAAATGAAGACAGGTTTATGCTGCAAACTAATCAATCACTCCCACAGTTAAATGACATAAACATTAAACTAATCCTTAAAAGTCTTAAACAACAGTTAGTTGGTTCTAAACCTTGTTCTTGTTACTTGTTGATAATTGCTAAGCTATTCAAATATCAATTTATAATTCGGTTTATTGGGTTACCTTAATCGACAATAGTTCGTCAAACAAGAAGAAACCGGCAAGGCCGGAAGTGAGGAAATTAGTAGCGAAATTCGTAACGGTTGCTTGAAGAGATGAAAGAGCTTTCAAGCTGTTAACATAACATCCCCACATCATGACGTTGAAAATTACGACCAGGCCGTATCTAATTACCTGCAAAATATTTAAAGAGAAATTTCGACTGCAGATCAATTATCATTTCAAAATTACAATTAAACAATGGGTTCATTTGCAAATTCAGGGAAAAAAACTATGGGTAATTTGCAAAGAGATGTAAGATTTGGGATATGTAAACGAAACAACGAGAAGAAGAATAGCAAGCGAAATTAAGATCGGCGATTGGAGTATAAGAAACTTGGGTGATTACGAAGTTACCGGAGGGAAAAAGAGCTTAGCTGAAACGGCAGCGCATGCAGCGTTGAAACCAGCTGAGATTGCCCAGGCGTAGCCTTTCCCACTGCTACCTTCCATCTTCTTCTTCACGCCAAAAGCAGGGTGGGTTTTTTTTTTGCAGAAAAAAAAAATCTACAGATTTTTTGCTTTCTTGAGAGCTCCAATAGCCCAAAATTTAGCTATGGTACTCCATTGGGCTCAAGCTTAGAAAATTAGGGTAAAGTACATAAACGGTACTAAACTATTCTGAAATAATCTTTTTGACTACTTAAGTTTTTTAAATTTACAATATAATCATTATAATTTTCAAATAATTATAAAATAATCATTAAATTTACGGAACTGTTACAGAATATCCTCTGAAACATTACATTCTAATTTGTAAATACATTTGTTTGTTTGTAGAGGACAACATTACAATTACAACATTGTCAAAATAAACACATTAATCAAAATTAATTATTATTTTGGACACTTGAATAAATTGTCGTGTTTTATTGCAACTTCACCCAAATGCCTTGGCTGGGTATGTCTTGATGAACCACAAACAGAAGATAATACCCAGCAGGCGCAAGGTTACCGGAACTTGGAGTCGTAACTTCAATGTTATACCTTGATTTCCTCAAAGCCGTCATCTTGTCATTGTCGAGTACAAGCAACCTTTGATTCATGGAGAACGAATGTGTGTTGAAAGCCGGTGACACCATTGTCACCGACACCAAGTTTTTAGCTAATCTCCCTGTAATAATCACTTGAACTGTCAATTTCTTACAGTATCTGATCGTTGACATCGACTTTGGAGCAACAATGGTGGGTCGGAAATTGTTGAATTTAGCGTTCAAATACCCCGGAGAGAATGCTTCTAAGCTTAGTTCAGTAGGGAAAAGTACACCCGTAAAGTTGTAAAATGCGTGGGGATTGCTTCCGCCGACCAAAACTCTGCCATCACGATGCAATGCCGCCGTCGAATGGTACATCCGAGAAATCTTTGTCGGATTTTGCGTCTCGAACCGTGATCCGATGTTGTTATTAGGTCTGTATAGGACCGGATTCAAGATCGGATTCCTCCCCAGTTCCCATCCTGCTGCCCCGGAACCGGCTCCGTTAATGAGCAGAACGTTGCCGTTCGGAAGCAATATCATGTCACCCATGACTCTAGCCATCGGCATAGTTTCGAGGATCCATTGTGGTTTTCGGTCGTTTATTGAGATTCTGGCGCAAGTGTCCAAAGCTTTAACGAATTCACCTCTTAATGCTTGGATAAATGATCCTTTTGGAGCACCACCACAGACCAAAACTTCAGCCTGAATATCCCGTGCGGTCAAGTTCTTCAATGGCAGCAAAACAGCCGAGCCTGTGCTCGTATAGCTTCTAGGCTGGCCACCTGGTATTTTTGGATAAGTTTTCACCACTTTGTTGTTCACATAATCGAGCAAAATAGCACGATTGTTTGCGAAAATGAATAAGTTCCCATCGACATTGAGGAAAACATAAGGGTAGAGATTGTTCTCCACTCCTCGTTCATTGGTTTTCGACAAGAAAGACAACTTGAATGTGTTGCCGTCCTTGTTTTTAGGAACAAACTCGTAATTAAACTGCCCCCGACCACCGACAACGATTTGTCTTCCATCTGGCAAGATATGGTTGGAGGCATACCACCTGCTCGCCGCCAATCCATTCGGTGTTTCTAGCCAATCGCAGCTCCCGCATGGGGTGAAAACCCTGACACGAAGCTCGCCGTCGTTGAAACCGCCGGTTTGGACCAGATTACCGTTAGGCGTGACGGCTCCCGAAGAACACCAGACGTTGGTTTGGACCGTGAGAGCTCTGAACTTATTGGTCAAAACATCGTACTCCACCGAATGAGCGGTGCAATCTACTTTGATAGCAGTGTCGGTCGGGTCATTCCGGCATTTCCCATTCGACAACTGCAGATTAGATGGCCCGAAATCAGTTCTATCGAACATAACGACACGATCGTTTTTGAGCAGTTGCATGTGCATGGCGGAGATGCCAACGCTTTTCTGCAGAAGCTGCCACCGACCGGCAGCGGCGGAGGTGAGGATAATGTGATATGGCTGTGAAGCAAATATGAGTAGGATTGAGAGAAGAAAGGTACAACGGGCTGACATTTTTGGTGAGTATTGTAAGATGATATTAAGGCTTGTCAGCTTGGGAGCTCTTTATGGTGAATGACTCTTAGACGAGGGTAGAGGAGAGGATTAATGGTGGCTTGCCTTCGTGAATCCCACACGCATGTGGAGTCGCGTGCGATGCATTAATTTGTTCTGGTTTTAATTTTAATTATTTTGTGCTTTGTTATGGTTAATTCTGCTTATGGTGATCCAAATGCATTTAAACAAATATTTAAAAAGAATAAAAGGATTTAATTTTTTATTTTAGGGTTTGAGCTTGTGTTTGAAGGAATTGATGTATCTTTATTTTGGGATGTATGAAATATATTCCATCTTAGTTGTCCGTAACTAAAAGAATGATTCGTGATTTCCTTTTACACCAAGACAAAAGTTGCTACTTTGCAGTTTTCCCTGCTTTACTTTCTTTTCATTTGTCTTTGTAACCACCAACTGTAAAGACAAGTTCTCCAGGATTCGCCAATTGGGTACTTAGGATTTGCTTTTTTAACATTAAATTTTTTATTAATCTAGGTAAATATAAGATAATATTTATTTATTGACCTTCGGTCGTTTGATATTAAGTGTTTATAATTTTATATATGTGATGCTCTAACCCGAAATTTTAAGAGATAATAACAATCTCTTAACCATTAAGGTATTTGACATTGAACGTTCACACTCCTGCATACGTGATGTTCTAACCGTGGACCTCAAGGGACAACAACAATCCCTTAACCACTGAGGTCTCTCTACAATGCATTTTCTCAACCTTTTGACTTTAAACAATCGTACCCTATATACGTGATACTCTAACTCGAAACCTAAAGAAATAATGACAATCTCTTAACCACTAAAATGTATTGTAATGGATTTTTAACGAATAATTCCATCTATTACAATCTTTTCATTCCTACTCCCTTTTTGAAATATTTATTTCAGTCTTGTTGTTAATTTTTCTCGTTAATTTTATTAAATAATTTATTTTTTAAACATGTGATATGACATAAATATCATAATATTTCTTTATAGTCGATCAAATATTATACATCTTTTCTTTTCTTTTTTTATATTTTCGAATGTGAAAAAAATGTTGCACGAAAAATGTCAAACAATACATGTCACGTTATTCTATGTTTAAAAAATAAAAGCCATAATTAACAGGAATATACTGAAATGCACGTTCCAAAAAGTTGAGGATTAAAGATGATTACATCATAGTAGAAGGATTAAATTTGCAAAAAACACATAGTATAGGACCTTATACAAAGATTGACCTTTGGAATAGATTGGTGATCAAACATTAGCTTAGCTGACATAAGGTTCTTACGAATAACTAAAATGTTTGAGAATATTGGAACCTCAATGAGCTGGTCCATCTTCTTTTTTTAGATGAATGCTGGCCTATCTTCTTTTGGGTTTATTATTGTGTTTTAAATCGTAAAACGTTATTTTTACAATTTTTTATATGAGATATAGCACAATCGTAGTTTTTTCTAAAGTTATAAATACTAGGGTTCAATTTGATTGCAAACTTACTTGGCCGAATTCTTTAGCCTAATTCTTTAAGTTCGCGATTCAAAAGTCTTCAGGGGTCCTAGTTAGGCCAATTAAACAGTAAACGAGCGATTCAAAACGTATCCTCGTCGAACTGATCGTATTAAACAGACCAATCCCAACAATGGTTCAGAAGGTGTCCGTGGAAATATGATTATGTGTACAATCGAGTAACTCGATTGAACAATTTTATATTTTTTTATTCGATTTGATGTTTAAAATTTGACTTGATTTGTATTTCATAAACTCAACTCGACTAAAAAAAATTTAAATTTGTGTCGACCATAAAATAAAATTGGAATAACTATTTATTTTTAATAATTAGTACATTTATTTTCAAGTTCGAGTTGACTCTCTCAACCTTATACGATATATGTATATCGCATATGAAAAAATAGAGTTAATTCCATCGTATCTCCTCAAACTATAACCCTTCCTTAAACTTTTAAATATTCTAATTTCATCCTCAAATTATAGCTCTCATTCTATATTAGTCCTTAAACCTGTGAAGTTCTAATTTCTTCCCTAAACCATGACCATCTTCCTAAATTGGTCCTCAAACTTTTGAATATTCTAATTCCATCCAAATATGTAATTAGTTTCAACCGTAGTTTAACCTAATTTTTCCCCAAACATACAGTAATATAACTTGGCCTAATGGTTTTATTAACAATGGATGTGATTAGTATATATGTATAGTTTGGGATGAAATTGAAATGTTCAAAAAAGTTTGGGGACTAATTTAGAATGAATATCATAGTTTGGGGATGAATTGAAATGTTCAAAAAGTTTGGGGACCAATTTAGAATTAAGATCTTAGTTTGGGGACTAATTTAGAATGATATACATAATTTAGGGATGGAATTATAATTTTTAAAAATTAAGGAACCAATTTAAAATAAAGGTCATACTTTGAGTACATATGATGTAATTAACTCAAAAAATATGAGGAAAATTATATGTATAATATATATAGTTTATAGAAAATTATTTAAATTGAAATCAAATAGTACCGCAACATTATAAATATTTACAAATAAAATTAAACAAAAATTCAAATAATTAAAATCAATTAAACTCAACTTGAATTAATCTTTTAAAATAAAATATAAAATATAAAATAACATCCACTAACTTAAACAATATAATTTTTTTTTATTTAATTTAACTCTATTCATTCAAATACTTACCATTCATTTTACGTCTTTCAGTTTCATCGCGTTACTTGTCTTTTTCCTTTAGATTTCATGTGACGATGTGACTTGGACGTCGGTTTACTGGCATCATTGCAATTTCACACTTTTTTGTTTTACATGTAATGCATAAAATAAGAACAAGTCATTAAATATAAGTAAATATGCTAAGTAATCACCGTTAACTATATATGTAGAGAGAGATATCTATTGGGAGGTATCTAGATGTGCTATTTTATATTTACGTGATTTTCCAATAGAATGAGTTGGTTAATAGTCTTTAGAGTATATAATTAAAAGTTTTAATTGAGTTATTGGTACATCCCTATTTTTCTAGATTATAAATTTAATACTTATTAAAAATAAAAATTCTTTTTTCTCCTTTAATATAAATCGTTAAAAAATTGAATAGAATGAATCAACATGCTTCATTCAACTGAATAAGTCCATAAAATATTATTTGATGGATAGTTTATTAATTATCTAATCATTGATTTTATATTTTAAAAATATTTCTCCTGGATTTTGGTTTTAAAATGTTCTTTTGTATTTTTTTTAAAAATATACATGAATTAACTTATCTCAATGGTTAAAAGATCGTTATTGTTTCTAGAGGTCATGAGTTCGAGCACCTGCGGCTGCAAGGGAGATTGAACTTTCATTGTTAAATGGTTGAGAGTATTTAGAACAGATACTACTTAAAAGTGTTATAAAATTGATCATTCGATTATATGATATTGTTTAGTTTGAAAAATATAAATAATTAGTTACGTAACTATTTTGTAACTTTTATTTTTGAATAAAATTTGTATTTTTTTCTTTTATGTTTTTGACTCATTATTCTTCATATATTTCTTTTTATCCTTAGATGACTTCAACGTGGGACAAATTATCCCAACCACGTAGGCAAAGCATTTCCTCCAAAACACACCTTTCGGCAAATATTTTCACATCAACACATTTTTACTAAAAAATATATACCATTTTAACGAATAATATCGTTTGAGTAACATTTTAAAAATAAAAAGATTTAAAAAATATTATTACCATAATTAAGTCAGGCTTTTATCTACTGTATGTATCACAACGTATTGCTCTGGATTGTAAAGCTTTGTACACTGCTTGAATCTTCAATGAAACCATAATTTACCATGAAAAAAATAAAGTAATATTAAACTTTATATGATAGGGGGAAATTATGTGAGATAAAATTTTCAAAATATTATATTCATTAAAAAGAATTTTTGTTAAATAAAGTAAAAGAAATACGTAATATTAGTGATTGAACCATCCATTTACCAAAATCATGATTGAACGAAAAATAATTGACTTAAATAGAAAAATACAGTCAATTTTTTACAAAATTAACAATGTATTGACTAATTAATTAAAGAGATATTATTTTTACAAAATTTTATAAATTTAAAGAGATATTAATTAATCGATAAATTAATAATTTATTAATTTAAAGAGATTTTTTTATTCAACGAACCTACATTGTTTTTCATGAATAAAACATAAACATTATATTAACCAATTGAATGATGTTAACGTACAATGTGATTACTTAAATATAATACATGTCCATAAAAAAGTAAAGTTCATTGTAGTACATAATACTAGTTAAAACTTATTATAAGTTCATGAACGGTAAGAAAATTAATCAATATATAAACAACATCAAACATTCATAATTAGTCAATCCAAATTAAAAGTAACGATCAATTACGTGAAATGAAACACTCATAGCGGCAACAATTCTTCACAATTTTTTTATTGCAGTATGAGAACGCAACATCAAAACTTTTTGGTACAATAAAAAAGTTAAAGATGAAATACAACTAAATTTAAGTTTTAATGAGAAGCAAACAATAATAGCATCATATTTCACTAAGTTGTCGTAGTTACATTTGTAATTTTATAAAATTATTAATTTATAATATTAAAGGGACTATAAATTTATTAAAGAATCATTCGGAAAATTATTAACTTATTAATTTATTAAAATTATTAATTTACACATTAAACTTAAATCAAACCCGAAAAAAAATTAATATTTTGGAAATATTATTAATAGAAAATGTTCACGTCAGACCTTAGACTACCCTGATGACAAATTGACAATAAAGTAAAAATGTTATACAAAAGTTCATTTAAAAAATTGATTTGAAATTTTAACCCTATATAAATGTTAAAACGTTTCGAATAATTGTAGGCTTAATTGAAAAATAAAATATCCCAATATATTTTATTTTAGGTAATTAACATTTTTCTTATCAGAACAAATATTTAACATTTTATTTCGTCATTTTAAAACTCAACTTCAACAACAACAACAAAAATCATTATTCAACAAATGCATGACGCACGACTTGGTTTTTAATTAAAATCTTTAGTTTTCTTACAAAAATCAATATATCTAAACTCTTCCCAAAAAAAAAATCCAGAAAATCCTATTTTATAATCACCAAACCTCTCATCCCCAAATCTCCAACTCACCCAATAATTCATTGTTGTTAACAAATTTATACTATCGAATCAATCATCAGTGTCTATCCTTTTTTTCATCCAGCTTTCACTCATAGATCACCTCCTTTTCGTAGTATGAAATGTCCAAATCTCCAAGTCCTCTTAAATTATGCTTCGTAGTTCACCAATCATCGTTTATTGGTTTGTTGTGATCGACAAACCTGTGTTACTATTTAAATCACCAATTGTTTAAAGAGATTTACGAATTTCGTACGATGATGACAAGGGAGGACGATCGATCTTGGGGTATGATGACAAAAAAAGTGGGTAGTAGTGATCCAGTCGACAACTATTAGAGGTGTGCATTTTCAGATATCATATATTTATTGATCTGAAATTTTAAATATCAGATATTACATTACTAAATCTATGATCTATAAAATTAGATATATGAATATCCATATCCAAACATATAATTCTATTTTTATATTTTGTGACTTTATACGATATCATTTATACATCTACTATATTATATATATATATATATATATATATATTCACATACAATAAATACGTGAACATTCTGATTTTAAATGGGCTAAAGCTTAATAGATTAACGAGTTACTTAGTGGGTTAGGGTTGTTTAAACTCTAAAAATTCAATTTTATTGAATTTTTGAATAATTTAAAATTAGAATTTAATATTTAATATGAATTATTCGAAAATAAAAATATTTAGATTATATATTGTGTATTCATTGAATGTTGATTTTTTATGCACGTTAACCGTTCAAATTTATAATAAAATGTTAGATTGATATTCGTAAAAAATTATATTTTGAACAAATATTTTTACAATAAATTAAAATATTGATAATACTGTCCTAACGAAATTCACTTTGTTTTTGCAATTACAGTGATGGAAAGAAAGGGCGATGATAATTGCAGGCAGTTGACAGTAATTACTAATTAGTGCACTTTTTCGCCTCAAAATAAGCTCCTTTTGTTTTACAGCCTCAACTGCCAACAAACCATCTTTTTCTCTCTCCTTTTCTCCCATTATTTTTTTTTTAAATTTTATCCTAAAAACAATCCACCCAATAAAATCAAAACTATTCCTCAAACATCAGGAAGAAAAAAAACCTCTGCTTTTTGTGGGATTTCTTTTGTTGTTGCCAACACACCCTCGTCTTCTGAACTAGAAAAAATCAGGAAAAAAAATCATCTTCCTCACCAGCCCTTCCCTTTCTTTCCCTTTACTTAGTTCCCTCACTTCTCAGATCCAATCAAAGTTTGAAACTTTAAAATTAAACCTAACTAAAACAGATTTTGAATCGACCCCTCTCTCTCTAACGAGCAATTATTGTTAATATTCCTTAATATTTTCTAATTTATATAAAGCAAAAAGCCCATTTTTTCCCTTTTTCTTTGGTCCCTCATTTCGAAGCTTAGCTTTGGGGATTAGCTTTGGCTAGCATTTTCATTTTCAGAGAAAAGAGAGGAAAAAAAATAAGGGCTGAAGGAATGGCGACGCGAGGGAGTAGATCGGAGAAGGTGAAGAGGATTTTTCAGCAATTCGACAACAACCGTGATGGGGGTCTCAACAGGGACGAAATGGCAGCGTTGGTTGTCGCCGTTAATCCCAGGGTGAAATTCAGCGACGAACAGATCAACGCTATCCTCGACGAAGTCTTCCGGACATACGGGGAGTTCATCGACGGCGAAAGGGGCTTAACTTACGACGGGTTGTTGAGAACTTACGACGACGGAGCTGGTGACGTCGACCGTGACTTCGACGCGCTGGGTCTCGATCTCAATCCCGACGAGACCAAAGGCGCCTCGATAATTTGCGAGGCGTCTTCGTCAATTGCGGATGAGAGAGTAACGGAGTCGCAGAGGAAGCAACGGACGGCGGCGTGGGCGGTGTCCCCGCACCACGACATAGTTTTCGACGACACGTGGAAGCTCGTCGACGAGTTGGAAATTCTGTTGAAGAGATTGAAATCAAGGCAAGCGAAAGATGGGAAATTTAAAAACGACAACTTTGATGCGTATTCGGATGCCGGTTGGTCAAGGGAATTAGGTCCCTCTGCAGAGCTCTCGGAGAAAAGGGTATATTGGGAAGAATCAGGACCTGATTACGCCATTTTTGTCAAAGAATTGGGAGCTTTAAGAAGTAGAGCCGATGGAGCAAGGTCAAGAGAAGAAGCATTTGATGGACAAATGGCCATTGGAAGGGTATTGTACGAGCACCAATTGTTTAAAGAAGCTCTGATTAGTTTCAAAAGGTCTTGTGAATTGCAGCCAACTGATGTGAGGCCACATTTTAGAGCTGGAAATTGTTTGTATTTGTTGGGGAAGTGTAAAGAAGCTAAAGATGAGTTTTTGTTGGCATTGGAATCAGCTGAGACAGGTGGGAATCAATGGGGTTACTTGCTTCCTCAAATTCATGTCAATCTTGGGATTGCTCTTGAAGGAGAAGGTATGGTTTTAAGTGCTTGTGAGTACTACAGGGAGGCTGCTATTCTTTGTCCTACACATTTTAGAGCCCTGAAACTTTTGGGTAGTGCTCTTTTTGGGGTTGGGGAATATAGGGCAGCTGTTAAGGCTTTAGAAGAGGCTATTTTCATGAAACCAGATTATGCCGATGCACATTGTGATTTGGCTTCGGCTTTGCATGCTCTCGGTGAGGATGAGAGGGCCATTGAGGTTTTCCAGAAAGCTATTGATTTGAATCCAGGTCATGTTGATGCTTTGTATAATCTAGGTGGTCTTTACATGGATTTGGGTAGGTTTCAGAGAGCTTCCGAGATGTACACTAGGGTTTTAGCGGTGTGGCCGAATCATTGGCGGGCACAGCTCAACAAGGCTGTTTCTTTGTTGGGGGCTGGAGAAACTGAAGAAGCTAAGAAAGCTTTGAAGGAGGCTTTAAAAATGACGAATAGGGTTGAGTTGCATGATGCCATTTACCATATGAAACAGTTGCAGAAGAAGAAGAAGGTAAAGAGTAATGGTGGTGCAAATGGAGAAGGGGCTTTTGTTGTAGTGGAGCCATCAAAATTCAAGACGGTGGGTGAGAAGACTACATTGAGGCAGGATTTAGGAAATGCTATTCAGATTAGGGCTTTCCAGAGAATTACTAGATTGAGCCGGTGCGATGTAGATCTTTTGAAGAAGGAAATTAGTGAAACTGATGTGCCAATCTCCTACTCTGGTGGTGGAGCTCCTCAGAAATCCATTCGCAAGCCTAATTTGGAAGAAACTCTACGCAGATTACTTCATTTTCTAAAACCCGAAACCTTTCAAGGTGCTGTCAAAGCTATAAATGAGAGAATCCTCTCTGTCTTGGATGAAACTGAATCAGGCAGGGTGGACTTGGGCATGTTTTATGCTGTTCTTGCCCCCATCTGTAATGGACCTCCAGATAAACGAAAAAGGATTGCCTTTGATGCACTCTTATGGCGGCCAGTAAACGAAGGGGGTTCCCAGATTAGAAAGGTGGATGCTGTACAGTACATTAAACTTTTGAGGGCTATTTATGTTCCTGCTCGTGGAATTAGTGAAATGCTGGAAGCTCATGGAGAAACGGATTCCTCAATGGTATCTTTCAGTGAATTTCTTGCCATGTTCGATGATCCAGATTGGGGATTTGGTATCATGTCCACTCTCTTGAAGTTAGAAACCGGAGATAGGAACCGTCATGGACGCCAGGTTTGCTCAGTTTGCCGTTACCCGGTCATTGGTTCTCGGTTTAAGGAAGTGAAGTCTCATTTCAGTCTATGTAATCAATGCTACAGCGAGGGCAAAGTTCCCCCTAGTTTTAAACAGGATGAATATAAATTCAAAGAGTACGGAAGTGAAGCCGAAGCGATGAAAGATAAGTGCATGTGCTTTACCTTGCAATCCCACAAAGCTCCATAACTAGTCGGTTTAAAATCTTTTTTTGCTTATCATGTACCATTCCATTTTGTTATTTTAGTCGCTCAGTGTGCATTGTGCAATATATATATAGTTCATCAAACTTGTTCAGTGAGAGCATCATGCTCGTGTACAATAAACCGTTTCCGAGCGATGTTTCTGATATATCCCGGTGAAAAAGAGAGAAGAATTCGAGATGGTATATATATATTCACTGTATCGTCATCTTTTGCTTTTGTTTCTGGAAATGTTGAATTTGTTTGAAGATATATTCATAGTTGAATGAAGAAGCAAATGTTTGTTCTTTTCAACTATATAGTTATTGCCTATTGTGCATACTTGATGAGTCTTGGCAGGTGATTGCAGGCTCAGCAATTTAAAACAATTACAATACTTCATCTTTAAGAAAGAGAGAAATCATATACTTTAATAACTTTAATCATACATAAGAGCTTGCAAGTGTCGAAGTTTCGAGTTCTGGAACTGCTAGATGTAAGTTTCAGAAGCTGAATGCATAGATCAACTGTGCTAAACCTTAGTTTCTCATTGTTCGTATAAGTTGCCGGTGAGTACTAAAAGGAAGAATAACAATAATTGCAGAGTGCTGTTAAGTACCATAATCTCAGTTGGTAATTACATCAGGTGCTTCACAAGTGGCAGCATCAAGTTTTCAATCTCTAGGTTTCTTTTACAAGGATAGTGGGGACCACGTGACACAACTGGTTGGTTGGTACCATTATTAGCTGGGACTTGCTGGATTACAGGTTACATAGTTGACCTATCTACGGGTTAGATTTATCCAAAGCATATTTCTTCTAATGTAATTGCAATTTTTGTTTGTTTCAGGTTTTTTTTTCTTTCTTTCTCGGCATACAAATGCATAATTCCAAAAACTAAATGCTTGATTCCAGCTTTTTATCATTACGGTCAATGCAAGCTGATATAAAGCCATGTGTGTGTTTCCATTATACACACACACAACTTTGATCACATTGCAGTGTTGCACACGTCAACAAGACAAAACTTGATATAATATTAGGCCTATACATTGAACGGCTCGAATTGATTTTTGTATTGATTAATCTAACCCTCAATCCAGTCTATAGCTTGATTCGCAATGCATTTGACCAGATTAAACTTAACATATGAACCATTTTCCAGTAGCTTATCAATTTGCTGAAGCAAAGGATTGCTTTTAATGTTGCAGTGTAAAAGAGATTAACTGTGACTCTTATTGAATTTCTCAACTGATTACAATTTCTTTTCCTTCTCAAACTTGTTTTAATTACACAGGGTTTTGCATTGGGAGAAGCAATTCTCAATTCATCATCTCCAACATGACATTTTCACAAAGGCTCCCGAGTTCGTCAACTTACCATTCAAATACTGCTTAATGCGAGTTTGGTTCGTCTCGAAGATGAACGGCATTCCCCTTATCTGCAAAATCATCATTTACAGCAGGTCAACATGGGGAGGACAAATGTGTACTGCATATAAGTATGCATGTCACCATGTCTAATACACATTACCATATAATATTAATGAAAAGGAAATCAAAACAGCACCTCAATCAAACAATTGGAATTAAGGGCCAGGCTCTGTCCTGTAGCTACATCCTTACTATTTATCGATACCGAACACTTGCCAAGATTTTTAAGATGAAATGATCCATCTTCTTCCATCTTGATAATTGCCTAAAATACATGAGAGGAACCCTAGAGTTAGTATAAGGGTTATAACTATTTCCAGCAGTAATTGCTTCGTGTGTGTGTGTGTGTAATGGCATATTGTACCTGCCGCCTTGACACTTTATTAGCACACCCTTGACTTCCCAAGTCGATGTCAACAACAAAATCTTCTGTCGTTCTACCGAGTAAAATCTGCACAATCAAAATTGAAAAGTACAGAGTCAATTTTTAACTACTTACCTAAGAAGAAAAAAACTAAACTGCCACTAGCTTTGGATAGAAAATTCCAAAAATAAAACCACGGAACTTCGGTGAAGTTGTGTAAGCGTAAAAGTTTAGTAAGTTCATGATTCCCTCATTGGACTTGGTTTTACAGCGAGGAGAACTGTAAAAGGTACGCATATGGAAGAAAAGCTTAAAAGGACTTCTTAATCATAGAATACCTCAGGTTTCTTAATGTAATGTTTGGAATGTCGGCCATATAAAACGGCAAAAGCACCATGGGATGCGATTGCCCTTTGCATGTAAGACTGAGAAGCCTGCTCCAACCTTATAATTGCTCTTTTCATATCCTCGTTCTGATATCTTGCAACTGCACAGAAAGTAAAAATTATCTTCCAAATTTCTAGAAGACTCCAGATTCAAATACGAAAAGATGAAATTTAAACCCACAACAAGTGGAGACAGAAGAAAAATAACATTTTAAAAAAACATTTTTCCCAATATTATAGATGGAGGTAAGTTAAATCAGATGTTATCAAACTACAGGCAGAAGAACAATCACAGATACAAGTTTGCAATTTAAAATTTATTCGGTCGACATACTACCTTCCCGATCACACAAATCTTGGTCATCTGGATCCAAATCCATATCAAGGATCTGTTCATAATGCATAAAACAACATGAATAAATGCAGTCAATAATGATGACTATGTCGAGAGTGACAACCAGTCATAATTTAAGGCATACCATTGCCTCGATGTCTGAGAAATAAGGAACATCATCATCACTTTCAATCACTAGCTCTTCTAGATCTAGAGGAGGAGGATCAACAACTGGTTCTGGAGAAATAATATCCATGGATCCCACCTCTGCACTTGAAGCTTGTTGAACTTTAGCCTTTTCATGAGCATCCACTTCTTGTTTAATGGCAAAAGAATTCACCAGTGAATAACTATTGCGGTTATCAGAACAAAGACGTGGTTTCTCTTGTAAAGAATCAGCAGAACAATGACTCAAATGCTTTCCTGGCATAATATTTTCACTCTTTTCCTTTGGCAGTGTCAGGTGGGAAGTGCCTTCGCTAATATTTTTGGAATTAATTTGAGCTGAACCTCTTGCCAGAAAACCATCAGGTTTAGGTGCTACACATGAGGAATCCTCACATTTAACTCTGCAATCACCAACTGGATGGAGTTGATCCATTTCTGGTTTCGTCTTTGATTCTTTCATTTGAGAAGATCCATTAGATTGTCCTGGATCTCTTTGATCTCTCTGAAGCAGGAGGGTACCTCCATCTCTAGTTTTCTGACCCCCAGGAATATCTTTTGCACGTGCAACAGATAATGGATTGTCAGCTTCTTTGAAAATGTGTTGTGTCGAGGAAGCAACTGATGGGCACAGCTGTTTGGAGAAGACAGCACCTTCATTGCATGGGATTTCTGGGTCCTCGGTATTTAAGGTGCAACAAATGACACCATTAATCCGCTCAGGGAACTGACTATTTGAAGTTAACACAGAAGAAAGCATTGGTACCTCAGAATCAAAGGGCACAGGCACATCTGCTACGGAAGATCCTGCAACGCCATCCAATTCTCCAAGATGTGAACAAGATATGTTTGCAAGATTATCTTGTGTTTCTAATGCCATAGCTTCAGTTACATCCGGCATTTGATCTCGAACACAGTTATTAGGTGAACTTGCCAAAAACGAGCTTAGACCATCAAAGTAAGACTTATCAATCACATCTTTCGAGTCAACATCCATGAAAAAGGGTTCATCATTCATAAGGGTATTGGTTATTTCCACCAAATAACCTTCCGTATCAGCTGTTTGATTTTCCACTTCATCACTAGGTATGTCAGTTTCCAACTTGGTATCTGTAGTAACAGCATCATGTCCTGATGCATGATCACTCTTAGCAACGATGCCACTCGAAAGTGCATATATATCTCCTCCCTGAAGGTCTTTTCCCCCATGATCATCAGCGGGAATAGCAGATGCAGACAAGCCTTCATCAGTTCCCCAGATTGACAACTCACAATCCATTGGTGAGTTGAAGACCTGGTTGCCTTCAAACTCAGAGCAGATATTATCTGGATCATTGTTAATTTGATCAAATGTAGATGAAGGTTTTACCATTAAATCATTAGCATCAAACAAGCCGTTCACAGACAATTCCTTGGATTCATGCAATTCCTCAATGCGACATCCACTCTCTAGAAAAAACTGATTCTCTCCGAGCATGTGGGGAATGTCATCATGTATATTAACTTGCTCTGCAGGAAAACAACAATCATCTTGATTACAATTAGTAGTCTGAAAGCCATCTCTTGTGCACTCATCCATCGCTGCAGCTCCATCATCAGCTAATACTTGCGGAAAAGAACAATTCATTATATTCATATTTGTTTCTTCAACTCCAAAATGATCTGAAATTGGATTGCCAAGCATGCAATTTCCGGGTAGAGGCTCATCTTCAATCCCAACATGGTTGCCATCATTAGGTGCTATAAGAAAACTCAAATCCATCGAGTTAAAAGGCTCAATCCGAATTCTTTTGCGCAATGCATAGTAACAGCTACGCACACTCTCAGATTTCCTCTTTCCAAACAAATTTTTGCCATCTTTTGAATTTCCAATCCTGCCAAATTTCAAAGGCAGTGAAGGAGCAGAACGTTCAAACTCAATTATGCGAGAAGACACCTCCTCGGAAACAACTGGATCATAAAGGAGAGAATGCCATCGATCTTGCAATTCTTTCATGGTGAATTTTCTTGAGAACTTCACTGCACCCTTAGCAAGAGCTTCCAAAGAAGCACCAGCCTGAAAATAGAACGAAATCAGGATTTCATAAAACAGAAACATAATTCAAAAAGACCATAAACAACAAAACAGAAAGTGAATTGTAGCAATGGGATAACATCATGCAAACTTCACAATTTAGGTCCATTTTCCTGCCGATAATCACACAATCTTTGAAAATTACGGCTCTACACAGCTATATCTATGAAAACAAGCAGTATTTCCAAATTAACACTTTGGCACATCACAGCTATGCTAATTAGTGCACTTTCTACATGACATTCCCACAAGCAGCCCCATCTATCATCAGATTTCGGCCTTTTGCAACCCTTAACTTTATAAATGCAAGTATTTTCAACTCTTTTAGTGACAACCGCCTTATATTGCAATACTATAAACCCAGAACAATGACAATGCCATAAATCCGCAACAGTATAAAAGAAATGCAACAGTATAAATCCACAACAGAACAAATATAGCAAGATAGAATAGAAAAGAAAGAACATCAGTATTCAGCTACTAGAAAAAAAAAAAAACTGAATTTGGGCACGAGCTTATATTTACTTCCAAGTTGACAACAAATACAAACAGAAGAAAAGTCGAAGTTGACAACAAGTATGAAAAAGACCCAATCTTTCCTTCTCAATTTTCTTCGAAACCAAGCGAGGAAAGAAAAAAAACCATGTACCTCAATGGCGTTCTTCAACAAAAAGTCATCATCAGGTATCCAAGTGGAAACGATTGGAGCCAAAGCGCCCATTTATTATTAGGAGCAGAACCAACCAACAGCCGTCTTTAAAAAAAAACCCTTTGCTTCACAACTTTCTATTCCCACGATTTCTCTCTATCGGAAGCGTCGGTTTGGGCCTCTCCGGGTTTGAAACATGAAAACGAAAAGTAATGAACCAAAAAGGTAGGGGTTTTAAGAGGAAACCTAAAGCTGAAACACAAGAGTATGAGAACCCAAGGCATAATGATTTATTTGGCCCTCAAACTTTTAAACAATATCATTTTAGACCTTTTAATTTTTTCACCTTTTTTCTTTACTTGCATTAACTTTTAAAAAAATAATTTAAAACTGTAAAAATATAAACTCAAAATATTTACTTAAAAGCTTAGAATTGTTTTTCTTCTTTTCCTTTTGAATGGTGTACATAGATGCGATTGACTATTTTGAATAAGAACTTAAGGTGATTAGCCGATACTTGACCTTAAAGATTTACCTTTTACTAGATAAATTAGATTTGATGATTTCACCCATTTTCAATCCAATGCCATCCCAAACAAAAGTAAAATTAAAAAAGAAAACATGTTTTTGCCCATTGGCATTATGGTCAATTCTTCAGCTGTCTGTTTTGCGTGTTGGTTGCGGCGCAACGTAGTTGGGTCTAGAGTCATGTGTAGTGGGGGTCAAATCAAACCCCAAAACTTTTTTTTATTTTATAATTTTCTATAAAAATATATTAAAAGTAATATTGATGCAATAATATTAATTTAAACACAATGATTGGCACCTATCATTTGACAACACTCACTTTAAAAAATATTTTTAATTTTTAAAATTTTAATAGTGTAATTTAATTTTTTTTAGTTTTATCAATATTAAATAATAAAATTCGATCAGTTTTAGATTTAAAATTTATCTTTAAGTTATTTTAAATTTAATTATTTAAGTTTGATACTCAAATATTTTAAATTTTAGATTATTCTGGTTTGATCAATGAGCTCAATAGTTTAATTTCTTGATTTTTAAAAAAGAAACTAAAATCAAAGTGTTTATTTAATTAAATTAGTTTTTATTAAAAAATTTAATAATAATTAAAAAATGTTTTTTGAAATAAAGAAATTAAAATATTTTTTATAAATTTAAATTATTTAGTAGATGGTATACAAATCTTGTGAACTAACGGAAACATCAGCATTATTCAATATAATTTTAAATTGTTGCTATGAATATTTTATTATTAATAATAATTATATAATTTTTAATTTCCTTAAATAAAAGTAAAGAAATGAAATGATTAACTGATAGAAGTAAAGGACAAAGAGGAACAGAAAGCTTGTGGAAATTAATTCAAAATCAAGTCTTGGTGTGTTAGGAAAGTTGGTAATTAGTTTTTGGATGTAATTTGATTTATTTTTATAATTTACTAATTTTTTATATTAACTCATAATGCTTCTGAAAATTATTGTCTAAATTAATCCATAATCTTATATTTAACATGTTAAGCCAAATTAATAACCCAATACTATTACAACAAAGTATTTCCATAAACGTTAAATATGCTGTCAATACCTATACTCGGATGAAGTTTAACATTTAGTCCTTACACTTAAAAAATTAAAATTAAAGTTTATCTTATTCTTTTTTTTTTCCATTTAAAACTCTAGTCCAATAGTTAACATTATTAGTATTTTTCGACAAAATTTATCATTAATATAAATCATATCAACTTTAAAAGCAAATCATTATGAACTCGATAAATATATCCGAAAATAAATAAATTTTATCAAAACATACAAATACTGCTAACGATTAACTTTTAATATTTGAATAAAGTAGAGCTTAATTTTAATATAAATACTAATTCTCAAACTTTATTTAAGCACAGAATGAATTTCCATAAATCAATAGTCATACTAATATATAATCTCTACTAGGTAAGTGAAATGAATAGGAAAAATACCAATTTGAATCTTGCAATCACATAATAAAGTGAAGAGTCTTTTAGTATTAGTACACACCATATAAATATATATTAGTTTCCATGGCAATATATTAGTCATCAAGAGTAGATTCTATTGTAAAGACAAGGGATACATGAAATATAAATAAAGTTTTTTTCTTTCTTTCTAAAGAAATATATAGAGATATAGATATGCTACCCGAGCAAAGGATAGGTTGTGATCTCTGATCCTCCTCCACTGGGATGGCTAGGCTGTAAGCGTAAAGCAAATATACGAGGACCTCCGTTTTGGTATCCAATAATGGTCTCACAATCCCCTCCATTATCAACAAAACCGTATGGATCTTCTTTCAGTGCATCCTAATTAAACAGTTTATTCATAACATCAATCTTAAGAAAGGATCAAATCTGAAATATGTATCTGTATCTGTAGGATTCTCAATCTGTGACTTCCTTTTATGCCAAAAGTTAATAAGTTGATGTTTACCAGTTCATGTAACAGGTTTTTGTGTATCTCTTCCTCATTCCTCAACTGCAATTCAAGATGATATAGAAGAATGAGATGGAATAATATTCAATATTTATCAACAAATTCAAAAGATATAGACTTGCATATAAATTACCTTTTTTTTGGAAGTATCAATCCGATTGCTGATCACACGATACTGTCAATATAATAATTATTGACGTAAATTTGGTTAGCTTCCATGTCAAAAGGAATTTCATCTAAAAACTTATATATATATATATATTTAGTTCAATAATGCTTACAGAGAAATACCAATAAGCTGATTCAACTCTAAAAAGACAACAAACATAACAAAGCAAAAATTGCAGATTACAGACTAGCGTAAACTAGACTATTAGCTTCCCTGAAGAGTGTATATAACCATAATGCTACATTTGAATAAAATAACTATATTTTATAATTTAATACATGTATTAGCAAAAAATCTAACTTTACTTTATAATTTTTAGTCATTCACATAGTTTAGTTTGAATAAAATAAAAGAATAAATATAGATTATTTTCTTTTTTGGGGTGCTGAAGTAGTAACTTCAATTTATGTTTAATTTTCCAATGAAAACGTCCAAGGATTGGGGGCGATGTCATACAAGGGGAAAGCAAAAGTGAAAGAGTGAGGCCTTAGAGAACTATCGTGTATTTCTTTTCTTCAATGGCTTAGTATGAGCCACATTTCTGACTCAGGTGAAAGCTTAAAGATATATTACCTTTGACTAAGTTTATACATGCTATTTAAAATTCAAGAATTACATGAGATCATGTATGTGTATCGTGATGTTTATGATGTGAACTTTCATGAATAAGCAAGTTTGAATATATATATATATATATATATATATAACGATTTGTTATGAGCCATAGTTGTTCGTGGTGGAAAAAGTATACAAAGGGGTATGTCCTCTAAATGTGTATTATATACTAAACATGTTCAAGTGCATAATATGATACATAAGGTTCAAGTTCAAGCACGAATGGCATGAACTTTCAATGAATGACCCAAGTTGGAAATGTATACATGACAGGAGTAACTGTACTTTGTACACAAATATGTATTTCAAGAATGCTATATATGAATCATGATAACAAATTTATATGATTATGAAGCCAAGGTAAAAAAAGAATGAACTAACAAGAATGCTTATAATAAGGTTATACTGTATGACTATGCATATGTATATGGGTATGAATTAAGTATGAAACATGAATATCAAGAAATGATAACATGAATATGAAATTATTAAATGATTGGTCATGTTGATATTATGAAACTAATTAGGTCCAGTTGATATATAATAGAGTCGGTACACTTAAATTTTAAGTTCACACCTAGTGTGTTCAAGTATCATGATAATACTTTGTGTATGATAGCACTTTGTGTGCTCAAGTTACTCTGATGGTCCTTCAATTACATCATCTAGGAGTCAAATAAGAATACATTTAGGCAGATATGTTTAATAGGAATCTATATAAGAAGAAATTTTATGAATTCCACATGCGTATAATATCATGAATTTGTTTCTGTTATTGATTTTAAATTATAAGTATGATTTTTAACTTGTGTTATCTTTCATTGTTAAGCTTCGATGACTTAGCATGCTTTTTTGTTTCTCGTATGCGAATTCCAACTTTAGATAGAGGATCACCAACCGAGAAACTACAAGAAGAAATTAAGTTACAACATGCTCCTTAAAAGTATAATTTACTTTCCTTTTTGATTGAGGGCATATGTATAAAATGTCTTATTGGTGTACAATAGGTAAGGTATGGTGGTTTAAACGACGGCATATGAAGTAGTTAAACGCATAATTTATGATTCACTCTTTCTGATTTAGATAGAGAATTGTTGTCAATTCTGCTCTTGAAGTAACAAATAGAATAGCTTGATAAGAAAAGAAAGAAAAAGAGAGCCCTTCCTCTCTCTTTTGGCCTTACTTTATTATGCCCTTCAAGTTTTTAATAGCCTCTTTCATTATGTCGTAGTTGAGTTGGATATAAAATTATAAGATTTGGGGTTAAACTATTACTTGATTAATAGTTTTACTTTATGGTCCATTATACGGATCCATTAAGTCATATGTATTATTTGTTATTGAACTTCACAATGTGATTTTGGGACAGAATCCTTTTAGAATGATAGAGAGTATAACAGTTATCCCTTCTGGTTTAGAGAACATTAGTTATCCCTTCTGGTTTAGATAACTTTATATAGTGGCGTAATTTGAAACATTAATTACTTAATTAATAGTCTTTATTTATAATATTAACCATGTTCTTGAAAAATGAAAAGATTTTCTGGGGCCTTTCTATTTCATGTTATTAGGTGGTTCTATAAAGACAAGATAGGGGGGGGGGTTTCGTCTTATTCCATATATGCATGCTTTCAACTCCGTTTTTATCTACAATCATCTTTTTTCTAATGGCTTACCAAAGATCCTGGAGCGGTTTGTCTTACACCATACTTGTTGAAATTTTGATGCATGTTGTTGTGAGTTCTTTAACGGATTTCTAACATTTGAGTTCTACATGTGAGCTTTTCGTGGAGCTACGAGGAGTAGGTTTATGTTATGAACTTTCAACTCCATACATATGACTTAAAGCCTAAGGATCGCAGAGAATATTTGTTTTTACGCAAGGCCCTTATAAGGCAGAAACTTAATATCAAGAATCAATACTAAATTGTTTTCAATTTGAAGCATATGGTTTATATTAAGCTTTAGGTATTGATACATGATATCAAGAATCGAGACTAAATTCTTTATAATTTTTTGAAACATCAATCCTGAAAATGGTTATCATTATCCTTTAACGTATCGGTATCACATTGAGGTATTGATACAGATGTCTTGATACCGACACCTTTGATGAATTTAGCTAATTTTTGTACTAATTTGCAAAATAACACAATTGCCCTTTTAAGTTTTTATTTTAAAATATGATCCCAAAGACGTGACTGTGCTTTAAATGTTATGAATTGACTTCAAATTAGTCTTGAAAGTGTTCCAATCACCAATTGTGACACATCCTGCTCTCGGGTAGAGGTTTTATATCTAAAAAGTATTAAAATCACTTCTTTTGAAATAGATGCTATAATTCTTAAGAGGGTTTAAAACTTCAAATCAAAGTGTATCAAAATGTTTGTGCTAATAAGCTGATCGAATTTAGTACTAAAAAGAGACTCGAATTCAAAGCTTGTCATTGTGAAGCTCAACTCAAGTAATTTTAGCAACAAAATAAGTAGAAAATATTTTAATACTAGATTCAAATAGTTTATAAGTTCAACATATATATATATATATATATATATATATAGTTATTATTATTATTTTATTCAAACTAAAACGAGAGTTCGAGTAAATATAGCTGAACACAAAGTTGTGTATAAGAATTGAGCTCATTCTTTACTACATATAAATATAGATTGGAAAAGACATTCTGTACTAGGTAAATAAGTAATCATGTCGCTTCAAGCTCAGCAAGTAAAACTTGTATCAAACTTCAAACCTCGAATTTTGAACACATCTTTTAATGTCAGGATTGGTTAACTTAATTTAAACTAGAATGACTATCAGCAAAATCTTAATTTTAGCTATTATTATTTCGACAGCAATTATTTAACCCTTCTTAAATATGAAATATAATTTAGTATTTTCCTAACTCATGAAGACTTTGATGATTATTAAAGGATTAAAAAAGAAAATAAACCCTAGAGTGGAAAAAGAAGATTAATATGGTTAAGAATGGTGGACCTTTCGATCACGTATAAGCTTGACAGCGTTATCCATTTCCAGCTCCAATCCTTGAAGATCCTCTGTGCTTACATCGTTCAAACATTCACCCATCCTTTGCCTGCCATTGATCCCATCAAATATTCAAAAATCAAGTTAAAAAAGATAATGTTTTATATATATACACACCGAAACAAATAAATTCTTCACGTTTACCTAATTTTCTTGCGCAGATTCCTGTTAACCTCTTTCAGCTGCTTCAACTTCTCCTGCATTTTCTACATAAAATGAACACAGAAAACAAAGCATCTCTCAATATCGTAACCGAAGATGAAAACCGAAGCAGAAAATATAAGGAAAGGAGGGAGAGAGACCTCATAGTGACCTTGCCAGACATCGATGCCCAAGGTTTTCTGGTACTGATCAATCATTTGCTTCGTTCTGCAAAAATTAGAAGAAATCTAGGGTTTCAGTTCAAGTTTTTGGAAAAAGAAAAAGGAAGAGATCTAGGGGTTTCAGAAGTGATACGAAGTGGAAGGGCTGATGAACTCGTGGATTTTCCCAGTACTGGAAATCATGATGATGGAAACCCTCGCATCGCAGAGAACGGTGAGCTCATTAGCTTTCTTGAAGAGACCGTTTCTTCTCTTCGAGAAGGTGACTTGCCTGTTGGTCGGGTTCTCGATGAGCTTGATCTGGATCTTTCCTCTAGCCATGATGAATGATTAATTTTCTTTGTTCTCTTCTAGTTTATTTTCTGTAACGATGATGAAGGTTAAGTAATGAACTAAAGAGACGATGGAATATCCATAGCTAAAAATGGCACGGCATAGCCTAATCACAGAAAGGCTTTCAAGGGTTTGTCAAATGTGGTAAAACGTAAACCAGAGTTTTTCCCTTCGGGGACCATCACTTTCCGTCAAACCATCTCTCTCTCCGACCACGTTTTCAAACGGCAGCCGTAAATGGATACAAATATAAATTACATAAAATTTAATATATTTCAATTATCATTAATTCTGATTGTACTTTTTAATTGTATATTACTCCATATTAATTGATTTCAGTTGAAATGGTGGGATTATCGATATATACTATAATTATAATTCAAACTTTAAATTTTTGTTTTAAAAAATAATTGACGTGACGGGTATATGATTCTTACGGCTTGTTGTAGCAGGTTTAGAGACGTGGAAGAGCAGTAATTTTTGAAGAAATTAACGTTGTTAAAAGGTAATGTCATTTCAATGCTCCAATCCCACGTCTACTCCAATGCTTTCTTTAATCTTTTCCCTCCTTTCCCCGGCAACCATAATCACAAGTTTGGGCAATTTATAGATTGGTCCCTCTACCTTTTCTTCTTATCAAAACAGAAAAATGAAAATCTGAAACCTGAAGCTTTGTAGTAGGGATGAAGCCAGGATTTTTATTAGGGGGAATTTATAACAATTAGGAAATCCAAATTAATTTTTTATTAGATTAATTTATAATTATATAATTTTTAAGGCATTATATAACCTTTTTTTTCATTTTAGAGGTCCAATGCCATTGGTTCCCCTTTAACTTTGAATGAATTTATTTAAAGATTTTATAAATATGTGAAGATTCAAAAATATTAGTATAATAATATTAATAAATTTGAAATTATTTTCAATTAAATTATTTATGATTAAGTTATTAACTCAATATCAATTAAAGGTTTAATAATAACATAAATAAGATTATTATTTGATACACATACAATAAATTATAATTTATATAATCTATCTATTTTAACATTAAACTCTAAAATTCTAAAACTTACTCTAAACCATAGATTATAAAATCTAAACCTCAAACCTTGTGCACAATCCTAAAATATAAAATCTTAAATCATAAAATCTAAATAAGAAAAATAATATTAAAATAATTTGATACACGAATTAGGTATGAAATATATATATATATATATATATATATATATATATATATGTAATGTTATTTTATTAAATTGAAAAAATACTTTAAAAATATGGGATCCATAACTGATGCGACATGTGAACGATTCTGCTTCTCGTAGCAGGTTTAGAGATGGGGAGGAGCAGTAATTATTTTGAAGAAATTAACGTTGTTGAAGCCAAGGTAATGTCATTTCCATGCTCCCATCCAACGTCTAATCCTGTGGTTTTCTTTATTCGTTTTCTTTTTGCTCGAAAACCTTGTTCCAGTTTCCATAATTTACATGTTAGAAATTTATAAGTACAAATATAATTAGAGAAAATAACTTCAGTGACCAAAAATTTCAGATAATATACGATTTTGACCAAATTTTTTTGGATTTGCGAAAATGACCAACAAAATCGCAATGCGATCTCTAATTCGCATTGCGATCTCCACTATCGCAAATTCGCGTTGCATTTCGCGTTGCGATAGTTGAAAATCGAGTTGCGATAGTTGAAAACCGCGTTGCGATTTTCCATTTCGCGTTGCGATAGTCTACAGTTGTCGTTGCGATTTTCCAAATTCGTTGCGATCGTCTACAGTTGTCGTTGCGATAGTTGAAAATCGCGTTGCGATTTTCCATTTCGCGTTGCGATAGTCTACAGTTGTCGTTGCGATTTTCCAAATTCATTGCGATTTTCCAAATTCGTTGCGATAGTCTACAGTTGTCGTTGCGATTTTCCAAATTCGTTGTGATAGTTAAAAAAAAAGATTTTGTTTCTTAAGAATTTTCTCTAAAAAGTTAGTATCCGCGCGGACGTGTCGAAGACACGTATTACCACGACCACGACCACGACCACGACCTGAGACGAGACGAGACGAGACGAGACGAGACGGACGGCGGCGGTGGCGCGCGAGAGTCCCCCTTGTTCTCTATCACTCAACAAGGAAGTAGGAAAGCCAAGCCTTAAATACCATTCCCAATAGTGTTTCCAATACTATGTGAGATTTGAGCATGACCAACACTTGTTCCCAATACTACGTGGGATTGAGCCTTAAATAGTGATATTATTTTTGAATGTTTTGGTTAAAATTGCAATAATCGCGATTGATTGTAGATTGACTTTTAATTATGACATATTTAATCGTATAATACTAATGCAATTGATTGCTGATTCAGTTGTTTTAAGGTGCATGATTGTTAATTGTTTCCTGAATAATCACATTGTATTGGAAACAAGTGTTGGTAATGCTCAATCCCACATTGTATTGGAAACACTATTGGGAATGGTATTTAAGGCTTGGCTTTCCCACTTCCTTGTTGAGTGATAGAGAACAAGGGGGACTCTCGCGCGCCGCCGCCGCCGTCCGTCTCGTGGTCATGGTCGTGGTCGTGGTCGTGGTCGTGGTAATACGTGTCTTCGACACGTCCGCGTGGATACTATCTTTTTAGAGAAAATTCTTAAGAAACAAAATCTTTTTTTTCAACGAATTTAGAAAATCGCAACAACAACTGTAGACTATCGCAACGAATTTGGAAAATCGCAACGCGATTTTCAACTATAGCAATGCGAAATGCAACGCGAATTTGCGATAGTGGAGATCGCGTTGCGATTTCAACTATCGCAACGCGAAATGGAAAATCGCAACGCGATTTTCAACTATCGCAACGCGAAATGCAACGCGAATTTGCGATAGTGGAGATCGCAATGCGAATTAGAGATCGCATTGCGATTTTGTTGGTCATTTTCGCAAATCCAAAAAAAGTTGGTCAAAATCGTATATTATCTAGGATTTTTGGTCACTGAGGTTATTTTCTCATATAATTATTATTAGAATAATTCATACACGCAAGAAATAATATTTAAATGGTATTAAATCTATCAAACAATCTGTCGTAACTGGTTTTCGTTCGGACACGAAAAAAAAACGTGAATAAATAAATGGTTTTTATTAAAATGTTTTGGAGTCGCCATCGACCTTTTTTGTTAGGTAAGTCGAATATCTGAAAATCATCTTTTAAAAGAGTTTTTTAAAAAATATTTAAAAAGATAAACTGATATGCGTATAATAAAAATTCATTCGTTTTAATAATAAAAAGATATTCGTGGTCGGTTACATTTGGGGAAGGATTAACACCCCATAACGCCCAAAATTGGTACAGATTGATTATAAATTGTCTCTAGTAGTAGAAATTTAAGAATTCAAATATGAATTTAATTTACAATCTTGTTATTTCAGATTTAATCGGATAATTCTAAGGAAAAAAAATATTAACATTATTTTTATAAAAACTAAAATATATATATACTTAGGTTTTTATAAAGAGAAAATAACCCCAGTGACCAAAAATGCCTTATAATATACGATTTTAACCAACTTTTTTTGGATTTGCCAAAATGACCAACTAAATCGCAATGCGATCGATAATTCGCAACGCGATCTCCGGTATCGCAAATCAGTTTCCAGATTCGGAACGCGATTCTGACTATCGCATTGCGATTTTCCAAATTCACGTTGCGATTTTCCTAATTCGCAATGCGAATACGTAAATCGCAATGCGAATACGTAAATCGCAATGCGAATTTGTAAATCACAACGCGAATCTGACTATCGCAACGAGATTCTGACTATCGCAACGCAATTTTGACTATCGCAATGCGATTCTGACTATCGCAATACTGAATTTCAAATTCGCAACTCGATTTCTGAATTCGCAACAGGTTTTAGTTTCGCAACACAAATGTTTTGGGTATATAACTACGCAGCAGCAACAACTCATAACCTAAATCCCTAAATCGCAACTCATTCCATCTCCATCTATCACTCTCTCCGGCGACATCCGTTCCTATATCCAACGACATCCTTCCCCATCCGGCAACAGGTTTTAGTTTCGCAGCTCGTTTGTTTAGTAAATTAATTTACAATAATGAAATCATCTAATGTTGATCATGTTTGGATAGATTTGTGTTTTGGAGGGTCATGGGAGAATGTTCATGGTGTTTTACAATATATGCCTTTACCCATGAATCTTCAACTAAAACTGTCATTAAAAAAGTTAACTTATGAAACTCTAATGTTACGTGTTGCAAATAAATTGAATTTAGAGCCCATAAGTGGATTTAGGCTATCTTATCAGAGAAATGGTAAAGTTTATTTGTTAACCGACAATGAAGATGTTGAACGATTCATTGCTTACATTAGTGTTTCAAGTGATGATGTTACATTGTATGTTGTTGAACCTAGAAGTAGTGAAATTGGGTCTAGGGCTGTAAATGAGACTAGACAGATCGCGAGCTACTCGAGATCGACTCGATCTTGGCTCGATAAATACTCGGATCGAATGGACTCGACTCAAGCTCGAACTCGACTCGAGTTCTTAACGAGCCGAAACGAGCTACTCGATATTCGACTCGAAAAGCTCGTGAACAGCTCGAAAAAATATTATATTATAATTTTATATTTTTTAAAATTACATTATTAAAAATATATTAAAAATACATTATTGATGAATAAATATTCTTGAATTGAAAATGGTTAAAAATTATTTTTGAATAAATATTCTTATATTTATTTTAAATTGATAAAAAAATTATTTCTCTAATGACAAATATTTAATATATTTCTAATGATAATATTTGTAATAACTAATTTTTTAAATTGTTGTTATATTTTGAGGTTTTGGGTTCAAATATCATAAATATCAAGAGTTTGAGCATTTAATATCAAGATACTATATTGTACTTACCTCATAACTAATTATGTGATAAGGTTTAGGGTTTAGGATTTAGAGTTTATGTGATAGGATTTAAGATTTAAAGTTTAGAGTTTAGGGTTTATGTGTTAAGGTTTAGGGTTTATGTGTTAGGGTTTA